TCCGGCGGATAGCGACTTTGTTTTATACTATGTAGTGATACTTTCTTTGATTGAAAAGCCCACAAGTATCAATTTCGAATAACTTTGACCATGAGAATTGATCTCAAGACTAGTAACTAAGCAACTTATTTTCCGTAACAAATATTGAAATATTCTTGCGGTTAACTAAAATTTAAATCAATTATATAATTGGATATCTAATTATAATTATTTGCCATGCTAACCACAAGTTAGGTAATTATTAAAGCATTTTAATTTTGATTATTAACTTAATAGCTATTGTATTTAGTATTACAGTAAAATTACGAAAATACTCTCAATATTGGTGTCAGATAGAGAATGGTTTAGTTAAACTAAATCGATACAGTGTTTCATTTACTAATGTTTTGGGTCATTGCTTCGACTAAGTCGATGGCGTAATGTCGACCGCATCGAACTTTTCAAACTATTTTGTGGCATATGAGCCTCGTACTTGCAAGTGTGTTTACAATAGTTATTCGTATTTTTCCTTAATTCTAATTGTTTAATTTATATATTCACAATGTGATTGCTTTATAGATTTTGAAAGTATTAATGTCACAGATAATGATGATGATGGTAATTCCGTTCATGCGATTAAAGTGAAAAAGTAGCCAATATCACTCTCCAGCTTCCTAACCGTCTATCGGAAACAAAAACCATACCATAAAACGCCCGGTTGCGAAGTGAAAGAAGGAGAAAAAAGAAGGAAAAACAAACAAACACATATTCGCATCTATAATATTAGCACGGATTGCCCAGTCAGCGCTTAAGATAACAAAGAAGCCGAACAAACACAGGTCCTTGCGCTTTGCGATCTAGATAGCGCCATCTTTGTTTTGTTGACGCTAGGATTAAAGTTAGTCACAAAGTCATCTAAATCATATCTGGCTAGGTAAACTATATGTAAAGTGGTGAAATTATAAGACTGACTACAAGATAGCAAGCACGTATGTTGAGAAAGAGATTTAGTTCCTTTACTGTACAACTGACTGACTGACTGATAGACAACGCATAGCCGAAACTACCGGAGCTAAGAAGCTGAAACTTAACATGTATGTTCTTTGGGGAGTGAATGGCAACACTAGGAGCAGGATTCCCTAAATTCCCACAGGAACGGTAAACGCGGGACTCAGCTATTTGTGTGCATCAAGTCGCTGGGAAAAATTAGTTTACTGCAATAATGGCTACTGTCTCCATACTAAGACTCTACTACCCCACACCACACTAAAGATAGACTCTTTACATTCTTATCTGCATATCTACTAAATTCTTTTGCTAATTGTATATTTGTATTTATTTATTAATTAATTTATATTTATAACACTCATTTTATACACTATCATAGTGAACTATTCCAAATAGCATTCCATAAATATTGTGTTTGTCATTTAATTAATGTTTACATACCAAAGAGGTCGTGGTGTGTGAACCTTTTTGCTGAGTTGCGCAAACGCAGCGCATCGACACGGCACGAAGCCATAATTGAACGGTTCATTGGGTGTTGTAATGATGAATTACTTCATTTTGACGTTTTTGTAATTATTTTACATTTTACAATAATTAAATTATTAGTTTTGTTTGATAATTGAAGTGGAAAATATTACTAGTGTTTGTGAAGGTCTTTGTGGTTGTATTACATAGATATGCTTGTAATATTGCGCCTTATAGTGTTCGGGAGGCGTAGGCAGATGCCCCATATATTAAATGTAACTTTCACTTTAGACACTTACCTACAAAAAAGTGTAGATTTTGCTTAAATAAAATGATCTATACAAATCTACATAAATCTAAATCATAGATTCGGCTTCACATGTTTCAACCATGTGAATTATCGAAAGCTATTGTCAAATAAAAATTTGACTAGCGACACAAGACGAGACGTCAAATTTTGACGACCGAAGCAAAAAAGTATTTGCCCGACTGCCAGGTGTGCGAAAATAAAATAAATTCTTAATGAATTGTTTTTATATATTTAGACAAGGTAATGCTAATTACAATTTCACAGTTCGGTCGTGTACCTCGAGGACTAAGAGTGAAGACTATTCAGGAGTCGGTAGTGATGCGGAAATTCTGTGACCAATGGAAGACACGCTCCATGGAGACGAGTTCCATGTCCTCTGATAATTATAATAGTTTTGTGAAAACTTGATGGCGAATTTTGGCAATATGACATGTCATACGTACGTCGTACTGGAAGGAACAATTTCGGTAACGTGTAGACAAGGCTTTAATGATGTTGTAACTAAACAATTGGGTAGTACCTAGGGTATCAAAATTAAAAATCTAATTAGTCCGTCAGTTAGATAATGAAAATATATTAGACGCGTATTTTTTATGTTCTCTGTTAAGTTGCAATACTTAGATAAAATGGCGCTAAGTTTAGGAGTGAGAGGTTCATCATCAACAGCCTATAAATGCCCACTGCTGAGCAAAGCCTCTTCTCACACGGAGAAGGTTAGAGCGTTAATCACCACGCTTGCTCAATGCGGGTTGGTGATTTCAAACTTATAATTAGAAATTATAAGTCCAGGTTTCCTCACGATGTTTTTCCTTCACCGTTTGTCAGTGGTGTCTAAATAATCTTAGAAAGTACATATGACTCGGAAAAAGTCACATTGGTACTTGCCGTTGGTAGGTTTCGAACCCGCACCCTCATGCATGAGAAATGGACGTCTTAAATCTCCGGGCCACCACGACATTGAGTGGGAGGTTGTTACGTCATAATGTGCTACAAAATGTGGCACGCTGTGACGTCACACGACATTTCAAATTAATATATCGTCGAAAGTATTTAATTTTGTGAGAAAAGAAAAAATGCGTGTCTATAGTTTTAAATTAATGTACCAGACGAACATTAAAATAAAATTTAGGAAACTACCCTATTATTTAAGGAATATACATGTGTTAAATAAAGTCAAGTTTATGAATTGATTCAACTTTTAGTGTACGCAAATAATAGCAATAAAGACTGATGAATCCCAATAAAATTTAAATGGAAACCTCTTTAGTATTTCACTTTTAAGAAGGCATTTTTAGCTCCTATTGTTAAGGGTCACTTTAGGGGCATTGCAACACAGAATGGTGTCTGTTCTGGAAAACACTGTTAAAATCTAAGAAACTATCTACTGATAATTAAAAGCATTAACAAGCTGTTGTAGGTGTATCGACCTTGAGTTGTTTAAAAGTGGTTGCTGTGTTTTCAGATTGACGAAATCATAACTTGATATTTATTAAAGTACCTGCTTGTTCAAACCAAGATTTTGTGCAATGTTTTAAGATAAAATAAGTAAGTATACCTAATTAGGCTGGGTTGGGTAATGTATATTACACTCGTTTTTATTATTGGCTGTTATTTTAAACTTGTAGTTGATTTTGAGTTATTTTCGGTAATGAATGTTCCTGTTTTACAAAATAAAGGTGTAATAGACTATAGGCATTGTGAACATATGTAGTAATATTGTCAGCATTAATCCTATCAATAAATAAAAAAGAACATATCATAACATCACGCCTTTTACCCCCGAAGGGGTAGGCATAGGTGCACATTACGGCACTTAATGCTACTGTACCATGTAACACCTATTGCCATGAGGCAGAGGTGAGCCTATAGCCATATACCGGGCACAATTCCAGACTCCGTGCAATTACTGAGAATTTTGTAAAATCCCAGTAATACTTTGCCCGACCCGGGTATCGAACCCGAGACCCCTTGCCCGGCAGTTGCACTTGCGACCACTCGGCCAACGAGGCAGTCATTTGTCAGCATTAATCTTATGAATAAATAAATAACAAAACTCTAAGGTTATGTTGATCATCTCCCCAAGAACTGGGACGGAAAAAAAACTTCATTTTAATATTTTTATCGACATGAAAATTGATCTCTTCGATGTAGTCACATTATATAAGGGCTACGGTCAATCAACCTTCCGTAATTCTATTAAATAATAATTTTACGCCATCATCGCGTAATTTGTAACTAAAGTTACTGTAATATCAAGGTCTTTAAAGCTTCAATTATTAGTATTACACAATAAAGAGCCCACAGTCATTAGCCGTGACATTATAGATATGCCGAACAAAAACAAGAAACATTATTTTATGTACCGTACACTATGAGATATGGAAGTCAATTATTGAGAACATTGAACCGATGAGAATTCAGCACTCAGCCTTAGTTTAGTTCATTCTTTAGCTAATGTACTGATTACTAATTTGTGATCGAAAATAATGTGGGGATTTGTGGTAGGTAATATTGTAGTGTCGTAGTGGCTCGGAGGTTTAATACGCCCGCGCTTTTCATGCACGAGGGCGCTGGTTCGAAACCTACCAACGGCAAGTACCAATGTGACTTTTCCCAAGTTATATGTACTTTCTAAGATTATTCAGACCACACACCACCTGGGCTTATAATTTATAATTATAAATTTGAAATCGCCAACCAGCTTTTAGAAAGCGTGGTGATTAATGCTCAAACCTTCTCTGTGTGAGAAGAGGCTTTGCTCAGCTGTGGGCATTATAGGCTGTTGATGATGATAAATATTGTAGCAAAGGTAAGCAAGGTAAATTACTCAGATTGTATTTCTAATTCCTGTACTAATTTTAATGACAAGTTTTTTTTGAATAAATGGTTCTTAAAAATGAAACAGCTGAGAGGTTCATCAAATAAGAATAACTATACAATTCTAATAAAAAGTTCATTGCGACTCAGTATCCGCCGGATCTTAATCGAGTAACGGGCATTAGTTCGGAGCACAAAATTCTATTCGATTTAATCGTAATTTAATTGAAATCCAAATTGCAATTAGTTTTGCCAAACATATTACGCATTTTGTTGAATGTTAATGAAAACAGGATCGTGTGTTAATAGAGTTTCATGTCGCACGTCGTTTGTTTGTACGTACTAAGTATTTTTCAAACAAATAGTTGAATCGATTGTTTTATGAATGCCAATGCTTGTAACAATAGCAACATCCACTAACCTCATGTATTTCCTATGTTCGTTGACTGGCACGAAGTATTCGTCGTATGGGTTGGTGGCGTTCATGTCCACCTCCACATCCTTCTTCTTCGCGTTACCATTCTTGGGCGTGAGGTTAATCAGTTCTAAATTGACTGCTTCCAAGGTTTTGGTTTCACCATTTGGTTCTTTCGTGTGCCCGTTTTGTTGTGGACCGTTTGAGGCAAAGGAGTCATTATGGTTGGGGTCTGATTCGTCGTGTTGGTAGGCCCTGTTGTCGAAGGCGCCTGGCGAGGACGGCGGGGAGGGAGGTCGATGTTGCGGCCTCATGGGCTCGCGCGGCGAGGCCGATCTACTGTGGCTATCCATTACTTTCGGAGCGGACTGACATCTGCAAACAAATTACCGTGGTTAGTCAAGCGAGCCTATCTCAGCGTTGTGCTATTATACAATTTCCACTTTAAGTAGTGATTTCCATATGTGGGTCATTAATGCGGACATTATGTTTGGATTACGCTAATGCCTTCGGAATTACACAGAGTACTTATTAGACATTATTATTTTATCACAATTATTATTGTTATTCAGTAGGTAACCGATTCTTTGTACTTCATCATTGGGTCTGACATTTTTAAATTGCTAGTCATGTGCGGTGGTTTCGTGATCTATGATGTTTGCATTAGGTAATCGTGTGAAAGGTCACTGGCGGTGTTCTGATAGGAAATTGTACTGTCGTTATTGTACTGAGTTCATTTGTAATCAGATGAACAATTGAGGAGTTTTAAGGGCATTAAAGTTCAAGAACGTACCTATAATGTTAATAGTAGATACTGTTGGTGTGTAACATGTCTCCAAAAATGTGACATGACGTGACATTTAGATCACATTGCACAAGTTATTCAAATGAGTGCGGAAGTGGTTGTAGTCCTAATAAAAACGTTTGCCGTGCTAAATTAGAATGTTACGAATAACGTGGAACCATTCGGTCACGGTCGAGTGTACCGTACAATAATAACCATGGGGTCTAGCCGGTTAGTTGCTGACTGCAACGAAATATAGCATAGCGGAGATAAATTGGAGCTTTGCGAAGTTGGAGGCTTGGAGCATCATAAGATCGTAATGACGTGGAATATAGTGTAAGAAAATGTTTTTAGGATGATAAAAAGACAAAAGTGTCAATTTATTTACTTGTTATATTACGACGTGAACTTTTAAGGTATTTTGTGGTTAGGTGATACACAAATATAAAATTTTAGGTGAATGATCAGATTAATTTAAACCTCATTTCTCTTTAACAGGTTCAAGTATAATTTATTACAATATCCTTGATCCTTGTAATGACATAATACCATTTACAACTTCATGTGACGATCTTAGATCTTCGCCATAGAAATAGCGATGTTAAATGAAAGTTACTTCCGTGATAGGAATCAAATTCAATTCTAATTTCAGTTTCAAAATGAGTGGTTTGTATTGTACCGTTATCTCTCTAGTGTAGCCTGTAGCGGCTTCGCTTAATTAAAATGCCTTAGGCACAGTCGACCTTTGTTTGAGGCAGGCTTATAGGCAATCTAGATTACAATAATGACTTAATTTGACAATTTGAACTTTATATACGGTAGTATACGTTTCATTAAATGTGTTTATTGCTTGACGCTTCATGATATGCGCATTGGCTAAACTGTAACCGCTAAAGTATTTCTAATAGTTCTTTTCGTCAGTTATCCAATGATACTAACTTATTAGGGAGCAAATCTATTACATTGGATTGGACATTTTTTAGTTCTACGTATGAAATATTTGTCCTACAGTACCTAATAGAACTTTGTATCAAAAGACAATAACTAGAGAGCTTCAGGGGAAAAGGTACCAAAACAGCAGAAAATAAGGTTTAATTCAGATAATCTGCAAATTAATCACGAAGATGTAATATGTGTCAACGTGGGTATCAAAATAATGATCACGATCAATGGTGAGTTCATAACAACGGGTTTGTCCTTACTCTCAATACGCGAGCTCTCGAGGTTAGCCACCTTTTACTGAACCACCTATGCTCATTGCTCAGCGATAATTGTACCAGTTAGACTATTAGAGGTCGGGGTTCACTTCAGTTGGGAAAGGTTTACATAACCTTTGTGGTCTATGAAGTGGTGAAGCTTTAAAACTTCAAGTGATGTGCTGCAATCGTTTATGTGTTGTTGTATTTCATATTTAGTTTTAAGCGACGATATTTGATACAGGTGTAATCGGGACTTTAGTGGGGTAAAAAATTCGGTTCAGCGTATCCACTTCCTAACAAAAGAAAGCATGTCCTTTAAATCTGCGATGACAAAAATAGACTTTCAGTTTAAGTCACCCAAAAAGGTTCATTGGATCTCTTGTTATTAAATAGATGACATCATTTCGGAATCTGGTTTAGGCATTACACAATTTGTATTAGGAGCCTAACGTTGTTTACAATTTATAATTTTGACTATATATTAAAGGCAGACAAAAGCACCGGAGGACCGGTTTAAAACAATAGTTTATTTGTCAATATCCATTGATGTTGTTATTAGTAAAAATAAACTGATGCTTATTTGGTAGATAATAGGCGAGCTAGACAATAGAGAGAAAGAGAGAATACAATGGTCATTAATGAATATGATTGGAGCGGAAATTGGGATTATATCTATGGGGTGTACTGATTTACCGAACTTAGCGAAGACTCAATGGCGAGCTATTAGTGATAGCGAGGTGGATGATCATAAACTTGAGCAGATTATTGAGACCATTGTGACGTTCGGTAATGAGGAACATGAGAAAAAAAATTTTTAGTACAATTTTGCATTTAGAGAATAAAATCAAACTCAAACTCAAAAGCATTTATTTCAATTAAACCATAATTTGGTACTTTTGAAACGTCAACAAACATGAGATATATAATAGTCTGTCAGTCTGTCCGTCAGTGAAGCTAGGCGCTCGTTCCAAAATGTCGATTCGAGTGGAGAAGAACGAGCAAGAAACTCCATTCGTTACTCTTTTAAAAAAGTCTGTTTTACATTGCTCTGATACATATTCCAATATTGTACACACATGTGAGAATAATGTAAAGACATACCTGAAGCAACATACAAATAACAGAACATACTAAAATAGAAAAAAAAAAAACAAAACCAAGAGAAAACAAATATCTTAAGTCTGACATGGTCCTCACATATGTATACTGACAATCCATATAAAATAGTGCTTCTATACAAGAAAAAAATAAAAAATATACTCTTGTTTAAATAAAGAAAGAAATGCTCGATGCCACAAGAAAAATAGATTGCCTTCATCGGAATCAAAGTGTTAAATTACCTATTATCGTAATCTGAACTAGGTACTGACTACATTTGAGTATTGTCCAGTGGAGCCGAACCAACACGCTGCCAAGCATTCCTATCCTCAAGATAATCAATCACCCTGTAGTACGCTTGTTTACATAATTCGCGCTTAATATATGTTTTAAATTTACTTTCATTTAGATCTAGTATGCTATTTGGTATTTTATTATAGCATTTAATACCTAACCCCATAAAGGATTTCTGTACCTTGGACAGTCTGAATTGCAGTACAGCTAACTTATTCTTGCCTCTAGTATTAAGATTGTGTCTATCGCTTCTTTTTTCGAACAATTGCCTATTCTTTCTTACATACATTATATTTTCATATATGTATTGACAGGGCACCGTTAAGATGTTTATCGTTTTAAACAATTCTCTTAGCGATTCGCAACGGCGTAAGTTATATATTGCTCGGATAGCCCGCTTTTGAAGAATAAAAATTGATTCTATTTCTGCAGCTCGACCCCACAACAAAATGCCGTACGACATAATGCTGTGAAAGTAACTAAAATAGACAAGCCTTGCCGTATCTACGTCCGTGAGCTGTCTAATCTGTCTAACTGCAAAAGCAGCTGAGCTTAATCTCCCCGAAAGCGCCTTTATATGTGGGCCCCATTGTAGTCTATTGTCTAATGTAATGCCTAAAAATACCGTCTCGTCGACAAATTCTAACTTTTGGCCGTTTAAAACAACATCACAATCATTACTTCGGACGTTTGGTAAACTAAATTTAATACATTTTGTTTTTTTCTCATTAAGCGCTAGATTATTAATGGTGAACCAGTTTTGCACTCGAAGAATGGAGCTGTTTACGTCGTCAAGATTATTAGCACGTCGATCTATTTTAAAAATTAATGAGGTATCATCTGCAAAAAGCACCATTCTTGGTTCATTCTTGAATATAAATGGCAAATCATTTATATAGACTAAAAAGAGAAAGGGACCCAATATTGAACCCTGTGGAACGCCCATATTCATCGTAGAGCCCTGCGAGTTAATACCATTAACATGAACCTTTAATTGCCTATCTTCTAAATAAGACTTTATTAGACAGAGTGCGGTGTTTCTGATCCCGTAGTGATCTAATTTCAGCAAAAGTGTCTCGTGGTCAACGCAATCGAACGCTTTTGAGAGGTCACAAAAGACACCAATAGCATCTTGTGCTTCCTCCCAAGCACCAAATATTTCTTTCATTAAAGTGACACCGGCGTCAGTTGTACAACGACCTTTAGTAAAACCGTATTGTTGTTGGTGAAAGATAGAATGTTTATTAAAATGATGAAGCATCCGAGACAGCATTAACTTTTCAAATACTTTGCTGAGAACCGGCAAAACAGATACTGGCCTATAATTGTTTGGTTCTTTAGTGTCACCACTTTTAAATAATGGGACAACTTTACTATATTTCATTAGGTCAGGGAAAACACCGTCATCTATACTTTTATTGAAAATCACAGCCAAGTATGGCGCTATAGTTTGAATAAGTGATTTGCAAACTTTTACCGATAGTCCCCATAGATCTTCAGTTGATTTGATCTTGATCTCTTTAAAAACTTTTATTATTTCTAGAGGATTCGTATATCGAAAACTAAAGTCGTGCTGACACGATTGTATATGATTCTTAAGCAAAGTTACAGAGAGTGTTGCTGATGACTCTAAATCTTTGGTTGTTTTGATAGGAATGTTGGCAAAAAAATGTTCAAACTCCTGGGCTACATCTACGTTGGATGAAATCTGTCCCCTTTCAGTATTTAAACTTAATTCTGAATTTCTTAATCGTTTCCTACCAGTCTCGTTGTGTATAACTTTCCAAGTAGCTTTTATCTTATCATCAGCTGCTTTTATTTTATTACTAATATAAAGACGTTTCGCGGTTCTGCATACTATTCTAAAGGTTTTTGAATATGATGTTACATACTGATGAAATTGGAGGTTGGTGTTGTATGGTTTCATTCCATAAAGCTCAAAAAGTTTGTCCCTACTCTTACGAATACCGACAGTTGCCCAATCGCTAAATACGAACTTG